TTTTGTATCCATTACTCAAAAGTGGAGTACTGAAGTCTCCTACTATTATAATGCACCTTTAACAATGTTTGCTTCATATATTTGGGAGCCCTAATGTTAGGTGAACTGACCACTTCATCAGTAATACCCTTCTTCATATCCTATGACACTTTTTTGACTTAAAGCCTGTTTTGTTTGCTATAAGTAAGACCTTTTGCTCTTTTCATTACCATTTACATGGAGTATCTTTTCCATCTTTTCACTTTTAATCCACATGTGTCTTTGGATCTGAAGTCTCTCATAGATAGTTATAGCTGGACCTTGTTTTTGTTTTTTGTTTTGTTTTCATGCATTGAGCCAATCTAAGTCTTTTGATTAGGGAGTTTAGCAGTTTACATTTGAAATAATCACTGACAGGAAAAAACCTACTATTGCCATTTTCTTAACTGTTGTCTTGTAGTATTTAGTCCTTCTTTTCCTCTCCTACTGCCTTCTTCTGAGTTTTGTTGATTTTTTTTTGTGTGTGTGTGTGGTGACATGGTTTGATTCCTTTATCATTTCCTTTTGTTTATCTTCTATAAATATTTTCATGTAGTTACTATGGGGATTATATAAAGCATCTAATTATAATAATCTATTTCTATATTTCTATTTATGTTATTTTTCCATAGATTTATAGCTTTTTAGCTTTTAGCTAAAAAAATAAAGCTTTTTAGCTATTTATAGCTTTTTATAGCTTTTTAAAATTCTGTCACTTCAATTTTATACTAGAATTAAAAATTATTATGAAGCATCAAAAAACTACAGTATTCTATATTTGTCTTTATATTTACCTTTATCAGAGAGCTTATTTTTGTATGCTTTTATGCTGCTGTTTAACATCCTTTTGCTTCAGTTTAAAGGACTCCCTTTAGCATTTCTTGTGGAGTAGGTCTAATGGTGATGGACTCTGTCAGCTATTATTGCCTGGGAAAATCTTAATTTCACCTTCATTTCTGAAGGACAATTTTGGTGAATATAGTATTAGTTGGCAGTTGTTTTTCTTTTAAGAAATTGAATACACCATCCCACTACCTCTGGCCTACAAGGTTTCTGCTGGGAATTCTACTGATAATCTTATAGGGGCTCCTTTATAGATGACAAGTTATTTTTTTCTTGCCTTTTTCAAGATTCTGCCTTTATCTGTGATCTTGAAAGTTCAATTATAATGTGCCTAGTATGGATCTCTGTAATTATTCTAGTTGGAGTTCATTGTCTTGAATTTGTATTCCATTTCCTTCTTCAAATTTGGGAAGTTTTCAGTCATTATTTTTTCCAAATAAGTTCACTACATCTTCCTGTGACTTCTCCTCCTGAGACTTACATAATGCACATATTGATCTATTTCATGGTGTACCATAATTCCCTAAGCTTATTTCACTTCTATTTTTTTCTTTTGGTTCCTTTGACTCAAACTTCAAATTACCTATCTTCAAGTTTACCAATTCTTTCTTCCACTTGATCAAGTTTACTGTTGAACCTATGCACATTTTTTAATTCCATCATTTTATTCTTCATCTCTAGAATTTCTTTTTTATTCTTTTTTTAAATTCTTTTTATACTTTACATCTCTTTGTTGATATATTTTAATTTTGTTTTTACACTGTTTTCCTGATTTTATTTACTTGTCTCTGTTCTTTTTTTTTTCCTTGTCTGTGTTCTTTTAGCTGACTGAGCATCTTTTAGAGTATTTTGAATTCTTTGTCCAGTAATTCATAGATCTCTATTTCTTTAGGATCAGTTTCTAGAGATTAATTTTTTCCTTTGAAAGGCCAATGTTTCCCTGTTTCTTTTTATGCCTTGTGATCATTCGTTGAGATCTGAATATTTGGGAAAACAGTCACTTCTTCCAGTCTTTACAGACTGACTTTGTACAAGGAAAGACTTTCACCAATCAGCCAGGCTAGCAATTCAGGGGGCCTCTCAAATCTTTTCTGGGGATGTCTCTTCTCTGGGATTATGTGTACAATTTCCAAGTAAAAGAGATTTGCCCCTGTTCTCAAAAACCTGTAATCTCTTGCTCCTCCTGATGTCTTTATGCAATACTTCAGTTTCTCTGATGCTGTAACAAGCCACAGTGTTTGCCTTGGTTTTTAGCAGTCCCAACTTTGCATCTAAGGTACACTATTTCTTCCAGCATTCTAACTCAGGAGAGTTAGAAACCAGTCCCTCAAGCAGCCTGTGAAAAACCAGAACACTGGACACATGTTCCACTCCCTTTTACCCAAGGGAGAAGCTAAGAGTCGGGAGTTTTGTCCTAATCACACTATGCTGTGCCAGGAAGGGGAAAGGGCTATAGGGAGTAAATACAATGAACTTTCTTGTCTACTTCAATTCCGGTTTTAGCTTTGTGTATGCCTGGGGAATTGTAACCATTTAAATGGTTTCTGGAGGGATCCCTGGGTAGCGCAGCGGTTTGGCGCCTGCCTTCGGCCCAGGGCGCGATCCTGGAGACCCAGGATCGAGTCCCACGTCGGGCTCCCGGTGCATGGAGCCTGCTTCTCCCTCTGCCTATGTCTCTGCCTCTCTCTCTCTCTCTCTCTGTGTGTGTGACTATCATAAATAAAAATAAAATTAAAAAAAAAGGAAACATACTCTCATTTAAAAAATAAAATAAAATAAATGGTTTCTGGAATTCTCACAAAGGCAATATGATCTATATGTGGCTCTTAAATCAGTGTCTCTGGGGTGGAATGAGGTCCTAGGGCTTCCTATTGCACAATCTTGCTGATATTAGTCCTAAATTATCCATAACTTTTGCCATCCAAAATGATATTTGCACTTAGGTAGGCAAAGTTGAATAAAATTATTACTTCCTGGGCTACAATGTAAATGTTATAGTTACATTTTCAACTCACTTTCAGCAGACAAATTAATACTATTAGTTGTAAACATTTGGCAATGTGGGCTCCTGAAGGGCAAGAGTCATCTTTTGGTTATTCTTACCGTCAAGCACAATCTCTCATGCATAATAACTATCATGTTCTAATATGAGTTATAAATACTTCCCTAGAGAATAGGTCAGTTTCATTGCTAAGAATTTTTTTTCTTTTCTATGATCTCTACATATCCACTCAGATTCTGCTTGCTTATGGAGATAATATCAAGGCTCTAATATAACACTGATTCTTAGTATTTTTTTCTCATATTTTATCCATATTTTATTCAGATTTCCTTAGTTTCTACCTCATGTGCTTTTTCTGTTTCAGGATACCACATTACATTTAGTCATCATGTCTCCTGAGATTCCTCTTGAGTTAGAAAGTTTCTTAAACTTTGTTTTTTAGTGACCTTGACAGTTCTGAAGAGTATTGGTCAGGCATTTTGTAGAATGCCCCTCAACTGGGATTTTTCTGATGTTATTTTCATGATTGCACTGAGGTTATGTTTTGGGGAGAAAAATTCAGAAGTAATGGGCCATTCTCATCATAGTATATTGAAGGTACATCTTATTATCATGACTTACCACTGTGGATGTTAATTTTGATCAACTAGCTGAGGCACTGTTTGGTTTCTCCATTGTAGAGTGTACTCTTTTCCCCTTCTTCCTGTATTTATTCTTTGGAAGAAAGTCACTACATGCAGGACATTATCTTTCTGAAGAAACTTAGTCTGTTATTTTGTCGAGTGTTCCACATTCTAGTTTGCTTCATTTTTTACAGTGTCATTTAATATGTTTCTTTATCCCTGCATTACCTGTAAATCTCTATTATATGATTGATGCTGTATATATCACATCAGATGGTTTGTGACATATTAACAATCTTTTGGTTTTAGAATGACAACAGAGCTCTTCATTGTAAAAGTACATTCTTTTTCTTTGCAATTAGCAAGAAATCTATGGCGTATTCTTTAGTATCTTGTTCTTGGTCCATGGACATCTGTGCCATGAGAAAACAATATACAAAGGTGATGGCTTCAAAGCTCCTCTCACTCACATCAGTAATCATCTATCTGCTCATTCAACAAACACCTCCTGAAGGCCTACTCAGTTCTAGGAAGTGTTTAGCTGCTGGGGCTTACAAGAGGGGACAGATGGGCTCTGCTCTTCAGCAGTACATCCCAGTGCAACAGAGCACTACAGGAGCACCAATAAAGTTTGATCAGTCTACACTGGTGATAAGTGCAAGGCACTTTCTTTGGTGATTTTCACGTAAGTGTTTACCATACTTTGCTCATATATTAAAGATTTTCAATAGCAAATTTTGAAACAAAGAGTTTGTAATTTACACTTCAACTAAATCCTGTAATCCCTAAACATTCTAGTTAATTCTCATTGCCTCCATAAAGGGACTTGTGGAAGTATATAAGGACAAAAGTCTCTGGAGGGCAGTAGAGCTTAGATGAACAAATGTAGACTTCAGAGCCAGAAAGGAATAAATTCAAATCTCCGTCTCCCAATTAGTAATCATGTTACAATCTTTGTGTGATCTGGCTCAAATTACTTCTCTGAAGCATGGATTCTTTTACATAAGTTAGAGAAAATACCTATCTCTAAGAGTTTCTAGGAGAATTAAATAAAATAACATATAAAGTACTTAGTACAGTTCTCAAACTCCTGGCATATAGTAAGTATTTGATAAATGGTACTCTTCTTGAGAAACAGCACAAAATATGCAGATACGATCAATTACTCTGACTTGGATATTTTTCCATTAGCAATGTAAATATCATATGAATAATAGCAAAATAATATCATGACAATAGCATAAGTCAAAGCCAATTCATAGTTTTCATTAGAGTCAAAGAAGTTTATAAGTCTCTGACAAAAATTTGCAAATTCCCACTCATTTCTCTACCCTGTTGGTATTCCAACACACCCATTACGTGTGCCTACAGTACGGGGGACAGCTAGGAGGTTGGGAGCCCACAGGACATATCTGACACAGGATGAAGCTTTAAAGCATAAAGATGGTAAAAAAGACATCTTGCAGGCAGAAACCCTAAAAGAGGGTCTGTGTTCGACAGACAATATACGTCACCTTTCTGCTCCGCCAGCGTCCACAGGTCCTGAGCTTCTGCCCAAGAGAGTGTCATGGGATATTCCACAAGGACATGCTTGCCAGCATTAAGGAACTGCCTTGGGAAAAAAGACAGAGAGAGAGAAAATACACTTCAAGTAATCTTCACATTTTAAAATGCCTTGCATGACAGAGAATGGACTGTTATAAATACACATAAGTCTCTGAGTTACGAAGGAAGGCAGATGAGAATCAGGGCCAGAGGATGAAATGTACTTCCTGCTACTTTCTGCTATGCTAGAAGAGAATGACTTTCTACTTATGTGTTAATTTGAACATTCATCCATTCACCTATTCATATATTCAACTAAGTACTATTTGCCAGCTACTCTGGAGGAGAAATAAAAGATATTAACATGTAAATTGCCTATTATCTCACATGATAGCAACGAATAAAGACTACCAAACCCATGACAGCCAGCTCTGCCTGAAATATGAGTAGGCATTTCCCAGGTACAATATGCAGGATGAGGGTATTTCACTTTGCGCAGCATATGCAGAGGTTTGGGTGCTTTATGGAGATTTGTCCATTTGGATAATAGTATGAATTTCAGCATGGCAGGGGAGTAGACTACAGGAAGTAGAAGGAAACAAAGTCATACAAGTAGCTGAAAGCCTGGCTGTGAAGAATGTAGAATGCTATGTTCAGAAGTCTGGATTTTATTCTCCAGATACTCCTAAGGTACAAACTTTATAAGATGAGAATAACAAAATCACCTTTTTAAGGAAATATACTCTGGTGCCAAAGAAGGGTGGAGGGAACCAAGGAAAGGTGTTTCTTTCCACACTAGACTTGAAGTGACAAGGAGGGAGCAGCTTACTTCCAGGGAACAGCATGCTGGCACCTGCAATTTAATGCAAGGACCTAGAGGGTAAGTGAGATTCAGGGAAGTGGCTGGAACTGCCTGGTTAGCTGCTGGTCCCATGTGGGGCTCCTCCTTCCAGGCTCAGTCCCACCAAATGCTTGAAGGGCTCTAAGGCTTTGCATTTGAAAGTGGGGAGGAGGGACATATCACTTCTCTTGCTCTATAATGTCATCTCCCCTCTTCGATGCCACCACTACTTTTTCCTCATTATTCTCATGGCAAAAACACTTCATGTTAAGGGAACTCTCAGAGATATTTAACAATATTAAAAGCACAAGGGATAAAATGTTGGAAGCTGATTCAAACTTAGAAAGGATTGTGACAATTTGCCAAAGCACATCAAAGATGTTGGCTACATATCCTATTACGACAAAAGACAAGCACTATTCAAATTACTGTCAATAAAATTTTTATAAAGAAAACAACTTTAATTCTTTGTATTGTTTTAAGTTACAGTGTACTAAGTAAATATTAGTTTTACATGGTTTTCATTTCCTTATACATTTAAAATGAATGGTAAGAATTTTTCGCATTTTGACAATTTTTAAAGGTAATGGCCTCCTGCAACTTTTTCCTTCAGTTATTAAGATTCCTTTGAGAGATTTCAGCTTGCCCCCAGTCATTTTTATATTCCTGCCCAGTGTGCAAGGTAAGGACTACCAACACTGAAAACCTACCTGATATAGTCCGCGTGGCTGGAACTTTCACTGCAGATATAGGCAACCTCAACCTCCTGGCTGGAAAGAGCATCTTCCAAAGAAATCTGCTGGACTTCATCAATGTTCCCAAGCTCTCGTCTATTTGAGAGTAATAGAAATGCAATTCAAAAGTATATAGAATACCAAATAAATGAGCACCATCCGTCTCCTCTCTTCCCAACAATGTCCTGATAACTAGCTTTTGGAAATGAAGAAATTTATTTCCTCCCTCCCACTTCCAGGGCATTTTCCACCAGAGTGAGAAAAACAGCCTCAGGGTTTAAGTTAAGAGACCTGGCATCGAGTGCCAACACTACCGTTAACAGGCCGGATGACATGACAGTCTGAATTACTCCACCTCTAAAATAAAAACAACTGATCTCTTTTGGTCTCGTGAGAAATGGTCTCTAGGATCACAGCCAGATCCAAGCATTTGGCCAAACACTACGACTACCAGACTTCACTCACAGTCTCAGAGAAGAAGGAAGATACGTGCATATATATAGTAACAATACAAGACTAACCTGAGAAATGTGCTTGAGGGTATAGGTGGGTAATTCAATGAAGGCAAGGTTCATCTAATTTAGGATTTCAAGTTAGGCTTCTTGGGGAGACGGTAGGTCTTAGCACGTAGGTCACGAGGAACAGGGTATATGAGACAGCTTCAAGTATGGGTGCAATGGGAGTTACAGTGCTGGCTAGTAATTTTGCTCTCTCATTTATGTGCAACTCCCCTAAAATCTTACTGAGGGGATAAGATTGACCAAGGGCAGATTCCTACCACTTTTGGGTCTCTCTAGTGCCCCAGATGGTCTGCATGGACCATCACAATAGTTATTTATACTTGGATTTCTCTAAAGCACTAAAAAAGCAGAGAGAGGTGCTTAAGCTGCTCCCCACCCCCCTCCTCACCAACACAGTGCCCACATCTCGTTCACAATTAATACTCATACATGACATTCTATAGTATTAGTTTAGTGGGCAGTGCATGTAAGAAGTGGTGGAGGAAGATGCCGAATGAGTGTGGGTCAGGGAAGAAGAAACACAATAGGAAATGTGGTTTTGTTTGAGTTATAGGAAATAAATGAAGTTAGAGGAGGTAAAAGTAAGGCTCAAAATTATCAAGGGGAAAAGAATACATGCTGCTTAGACAATGGGCTTTGGAATCAAATAAACCTGTGTTCATGCGCAGGTCTTAAGCTCTATGCAAATTACTTAACCTCTCTGTGGCTCAGTTTCTTTATGTGTAAAGTGGGGTTGATAACAGTATATATGTCAAATAGCTGATAAGGCTCCTAAAGCCCGGGGCCACTGCATGGATGCCTATTATGATAACTGATACAACAATTAAGTGGCACACACCGAAAGCCTTCTTCCTTCAGGCCAACCCACCAAGTGTTCACTGTGCCCCTTCTGTAACCATCAGGCCCTGCTCTCATCTTCCCTGCCTTTGTCTTCGTAGTCCCCTTGAGACTGACTTGCTGTACATCGCAGCTGCAGGTCTAGCACTCCACCTCCCAGACCCATCTAAACTTGAGATCTTCTGGGGCTGTCCCTGAATACAGTTCTCTGGAATGACCCCGGAGCTGGCGCTCTCTCTTTGGGGTCTGGAGAATCTCTGTGTCCCAACCCCTAATTCATCTCACTGGTCTTGCCATGAACTACAAGGCACAAGGCAAATGCCAGCCACCTGGACACGAAGCCAGTCAGGTTCAGGAATGCTGAGGAAGCATGTGGATTCCGCAAGTCCCTGATCCGCACAGAGCCAGCTCTGCCAACGCCAACCACCACCACTCCGAACTTCCTCTCAGGCTGAAACACAAGGGACCATGGTAGGATTTAAAAATAGTAAATGCAAAAATATAAAATAAAATAAAATAATAAAATAAAATAAAATATAAAATAAAAAATAAAATAAAAATAAAAAATAAAATAAAAAATAAAACAAAAAAATAAAATAAAAAATATAAAATAATAAATAATAAATAAAATAAAATAATAAAATAAAATAAAATAAAAATAGCAAATGCATCGAGCAGAGAACAGCAAAACAAAGTCATGTCAGCAGGACCAGTCAGGGTCCAGATGAGGAAAGAAGCCAACCCAGAACCCACAAGAAGCTGTAGCATATGAGTCTGGGGTAAGACAGTCCCTTATATGAGAGCTTAGGGAGAAGTCAGCTCCACCCAAAACATACTTCCACAGGACCTCTGACTGTGTCATCCATAGAAAAGGCTGCTCACATTTGGCTCCCCATTTCCATGCCACCTCCAAAGATGAGAGATTTTTCTCATTAAGCTATACCTGGTACTCCCTGAATCCTTCCTCCAGTGGACATGCAATCTGATACAGCTAGGGGTCATTGAGAGGCCACAGCTGCTTCATGAGACACTGGCACACAGGACACAAGGCAAACCATGGGCTGTCCCCTTATTCAGACTCCCCACTACAGCTTTCTGAGTTCCAACCAACTTCACTCCCACTCTCCTGTGGTAGCTGACCATATTACTCAGATACGCTGCTGGGGGCTGTGTGCAAGTACTGAGTGAAAAATCAAGTTGATTCTCAAAGTCAGAGCCACTCAGTTCATTCAAACTGATAAAATTACTTCTACCCATCCCGCAAACCCAGTTCTGCTTGGATGTCTCTGAGCAAGAATGGGAGTATCACCTCGGATTCACCCTTTCCCACCACCTGTGAGATCTGCGTCACCATGTCCCACTGATTCTACTCCTTCCTGTGTTCACTGCTCTAGTGTTGGCCCAGGATTTCTTTGCCTCATTCACCCACTGGTCTCACTCCTAATTTTAAACCTTTCCATCATCCACAGGTCTGCCAGAGCAGTTGCTAAGATAAAAACTAAGTCCCTCCCTTTACTTCCTCCCCTTAATGAAAAGCCCTTCATTTTCTCAACTGTTATTGACTGTCTCCTTCCAAAATTTGTGTCATGAAACCCTAGCCCCCAATTATGATGGTATTAGGAGATGGGACCTTAGAGAGGTAATTTAGATTAGATGTGGTCATGAGGTAGGAGCCGTCATGAATGGGATTAGTGTCCTTGTACGAGCCTCTCCCACCCCCTGCTCTTTGCCCAGGTCTCAGCAAGTCTGCAACCTGGAAGAGAGCCCTCACCAGAACCTGACCAAGCAGCCTGATCTCAGACTTGTACCCTCCAGAACTGTAAGAAATAAATTTCCATTCTTTTATAAGGCATCTGGTTTGTGGTACTTTATCTGCTGTATCATAGTAGCCCAACTAAGACACCAAGAAAAGAGAGAAAAATACTGAAGTTGAAGTTCTTTAAAAAAAAAATTATGCTGTACACCTAAAAATTAATATATTATTTTATGTCAATCATAACTCAATTTAAAAATACTTTAAGATGGAAAAAAAAGGCCTCTCTGCCCCTTGGTGTTCATGGAACAAAAACATAAAAAAAATTTTCATTCTCTACCCCAGCCCCTCATCCAAGTTATATTTCCCTCAGACTTTCCCATCTCTAAATGCCACCACCACCGACTCAGTTGCTCAGGTCCTTAAACTTGGGAGTTATCTTTGCCTTTTTTTTCTCCGTCCAATATTTGATACTCAATTCATCAACATTCATAAGCCTTCAATCTACTGCTGTCCATCTTCACTGCTGCCCCCCAATCCAAGTCACAATCTCATCACTTGGACTGTTCAGTGGCCTTTGTAACTGGTTTCCCTGCTTTACTTTTTGTCCTGTTCTATTCCTCATAGAGCAGCAAGAATTATCGTTAGAATAAACATAACCAGGTATTATTATCTGCCCCTCCCCATCCACTTCCCAGTTTACAACTCTCTGGAGGCTACCTATTATACTCAGAATAAAAACCAAACCACTTGCTGTGGTCTACAAGGGCCTTTGTAATCTAGCCCCTGCCAATCTCCTTTAGTTCATCGCCTGCCGCTCTCCCTCTCATCATACTGGCTGCCTTCCTACAGCAGGTCATGGTCATTTGCACTTTAGGGCCTTTGTATATATGACTTACTCCAAAAAGTGTCAGGATCCAAGGACGTATTATGGACAGACCCTGCTCTTACAGAGATTTTAAAGAAGGAAGAGAGTAAACAACTCAACACATGAATAAATATCAAGAGATAGTGAGCATTACCAGGATACGTGGAGTAGGGTAAAGGGCATAGAGGGAGATTATGGGAGGAGGTGCCTTGCCTTTGAAAGGGTGGTGAGGGAAGGCCTCTCTGAGGAGGCAGCTTTGAACAAAGACCAGAATAAAATGAGAAGATGAGACACATAGTTATCTGGGGGCAAATGGGACAGAAGGCATTCTTTCAAAGGCTTCAAGGGGGGGTAGATACCTGCAGGGCTTAGAAATAGTGGACATGATCATAAAACATGCAACAATATAAGTCTTCTAATTAAATATGAAAGTCTTTACCAAAGACTTCTTTACCAAACATCGAGGCCTTCCAATGTTGGCTCCAGTCTACTTTTTCTGGTCACCTCTCCCACTGTGTATCTTTAGACTTTGGACTTTCCAAAGTACTGGAAAGTTTGTAAAACTCTGTATGTTTTCTATCTTTAAGTCTTTGCAAATCTTGTGTCCCTTGAGCTCCTACCTACTGCCCACCTGGACACCTTCAAAGCTTTCAAGACTTGGACATCTTTGTAAGATGCCCTTCCTTATCCTATTGGTTGTTTTTTACATTTAATAAAATCCACCCATTTGTACATTTCTGTGAGTTTTGATCAACACACAGTCATATTACTACCATAAATCAAGATACAAAACAGTCCCATCACCCTTCTCCAAAATTATCTATGCTCCTTTGTAGCCAATCCCTACTCCCACTCCAGGCAATCACTATTTGCTTACTGTCTCAATAGTTTTGCCTTTTCCAGAAAGTCATAGAAATGAAGTCATATGATATGTAGTCTTTTGAGTCTGGCTTGACTTTAGCACAACAAATTTTTTTAATCTATGTTGTTACATGTATCAATACTTTTTTTTTTTTTAAAGATTTTACTTATTTATTCATAAGAGACAGAGAGAGAGAGAGAGAGAGAGAGAGAGAGAGAGAGGCAGAGACACAGGCAAAGGGAGAAGCAGGCTCCATGCAGGGAGCCCAATATGGGGACTCGATCCCAGGTCTCCAGGATCAGGCCCTGGGCTGAAGGTGGTGCTAAACCACTGAGCCACCCAGGCCGCCACTTACTTTCTTTTTATTACTGAGTAGTAGGAGTCCATTATATGCATATACTGGTTTGTTTATCCATTTAGCAAATGAAGAACATTTCTGGTGCTCTCAGTTCGAATGAATTCATAATTCATTCCAGTATGAATAAAGCTGCTATAGTCAGTCATGGACTAGTTTTTGTGTAAACACAGTTCTTAACTACAGTTTCCAGTCTGCAGCATGTCTTTTCATTTTCTTAAGAATGTCCTTTGAGGGGCAGCCCAGAGGCTCAGCAGTTTAGCGCCACCTTCAGCCTGGGGCCTGATCCTGGAGACCCAGGAGAGAGTCCCCATATCGGGCTCCCTGCATGGAGCCTGCTTCTACCTCTGCCTGTGTCTCTGCCCCCGCCCCCCTCTCTCTGTGTCTCTCATGAATAAATAAATAAATAAAATCTTTAAAAAAAAAGGAATGTCTTTTGAATGAATATCTTAATTTTGATGAAGTACAACTTATCAAAAAAAAAAGTTAATGTATCAGTCTTCTGGCTAACACAAGGGCACAAAGATTTTTTCCTTATACTTTAAGTTTTATAGTCTAAGGTGTATAGTTTTAGTTACTTTATGTTCTGATTTAATTTTTATACATGATGTAAGGTAGGAATCAAGAGTTCTTATAAAAAATTTTTTTAGGTAGAGAGGCAGCCTTTCAATTTCCACAGGCTGATCAACTGCCTACAATGAGACAGACGTATGCCAGGCTTGTATGTAAATACTATTTAGACTTACACCAGCTCATGTGCCGTCTGCTCTGGAAGCAATGAACGGGTTTTTTTCCCCCTCTTTGAATATGATATTCAATTGTTCCAACAAAAATTTATTGAGAAAAACTATCCTTTTTCTACTGAAATGCTTTTGTACCTTTTTGGTAGATATTGTCACAATTGTTATAGTTTTATAGCAAGTTTAAAATCAGTTACTGTCAACTTTCCAACTTTTTTCTTTTCCAAAACTCTAGTTCTCCTGCCTTGATAGAAAAGTTTTAGAATCACCTTTTCAATTTCTACCAAAGAGAAAAAATCTGCCAGGATTCTGAATGGTATTACATTGAATCTATAGATTCGTTTGGGAAAAAACATCCTGGAAGAGTGAATCCATATTCATGAACATGGTATATATCCCATTTAGGTCTTCTTTGATTTCTTTCATTCTATCACTTTCAGTGTATGAATCTTGAACATATTTTGTTAAATTTATATCTAAGTACCTTATGATTTCAGTGCTATTGTAAATAGTATTTTTTTTAGTTTCTACTTCTAATTATTTGTTGCAAATAGATAATGGATTTTTGCATATTGATCTGGACCTCATAAACTTGCTGAACTCATTACTTCTAGCAGTTGACTTTTGTTTTTGAGATTCTCTCAGATTTTCTACATAGACTATAAGTCAGACCTAAATAGAGATGGTTTCACTTCTCCTTCTCAATCTGCAGTTCATTCACCTTTCTTGCCTTATTGCACTGGGTAGGTCTTCCATTATCATTTTGACTTGGATTAGTGACAGCAGACATTCGTGCCTACTTTCTTTTCTTTTCTTTTTTTTTTTTTTAAAGATTTTATTTATTTATAGAGATGCAGAGAGAGAGAGAGAGAG